CCGGGGTGGACTGGTCGGCGATGCAGGCGGGAGCTGTGCCCGCTCCCTTTCTGCCGGCGAGATCGACCGCCAACTTTGAGCTGCACGCAGACGACGTGCTCAACACACTCGACGGCGGCCTCACTCCTGGGGCCCGCAAGTGCCAGCCGCCCGCTGCCGACGATGCAGATTTTGCAGAGTGTGTGCCGTGGGCAAGGCCGGCGTCGGCCGCGTGAGACCGTGTAAGTGTTGTGAGTTAGATGAGAGAGGAGACTTTTTTGTGCAGCAATGTGGTATGTGCGCAGGGCCAGGGCCGCCCTGCCAGGGGCGCGGTCTCCCCTGGCCCTCTCCACTTTCTAAAGGTAATACCATTTATGACATTTACATCTCCAGAAAACGCACATGTGGATGTGCAAAAGGCAGGCAGCATTGCTACTCGCAGGCCCCCGGCGTACGTTACAAGGCGTCAACGTAGCATGCATCACTCCACTCGACCCAGCAACGTACTGCGCAGCTCCCCTCTCCCCCCACGGCGGCGCTGCTTCGCGCCTTACAACTGGCGGACTTGAATAGAGACGCGGCAGCCACCGAGCTGCTCGAGCATCCCGTCCGGGAGCGACCTGGACTCGCCGCCGAGGCTCGGGGCCTCGTGCACCCGGTCGAGGCCGTGCATCACCGCGTGCGCTGGGCCGCCGTTGAACACGAGAGCGTCGCCCGACTCGATCGTGAGGGTGCGACCGCCGGCGTGGAAGTCGCACGAGAGCCCGAACGAGAAGAGGACGACCCAGCGGCCCATGCCGTCGATGTGGTGGGGAAGAGTCGAGCCGCGCGGGTACGCGAGGCCAACCGGCGGCATCCACCCGTATCCGTATCCGTGGCCGTGGTGAGCCGCGACTTGCCCCCGCCACGCAAGCGGGTCGGGCTCATGCTGCTCGTTCTTGAGCGCCTTGCGGGCGGCCTCGTCCTTGCGGATGATGTCGAGCGACGCGCAGAGGCCCAGCACCGCCTCGGCGTGCTGGTGGAGCAGCTGCGGGTTGGCGACGCTCGCCGTGCCTTGCGCGGCGACGCCGTGCGCGACACGCGAGCGAAGCGCCGAGACGCCGAGCTCGCGCATAAGCGAGAGGCCGCGGTCGCGACGGTAGTTCTTGACGAGGAGGACGGGCGAGCCGAAGCTGGGGCCACTGCCGTAGTTCTGCTGCCGACCAAAGTGAGCACCCAGCCTCGCGGCCGCCCGCCTGTCGTGCGACGCCCTCAGCCGGACGACGACGACGCTGTCGCACGCGCTGGTGGCATCGATGACGCCTACGCCGGGTGGATCTCGGGTGCCTCCCGGGTGCCTCGCGGCTGCATCTCGTGAAAGCCGTCGAGGGTGCCGAGCGGCGAAGGGACAAAGGGGGTGGAGGAGCTCCGCTGCACGCGAGCGCTGCTCGCGAGCCTCACGTGCAGGTTGCCAGCCTGCATGCCGAGCGCCTCGCCCAGGCTCGTCGACTGCATCGCCTGCTTGTTGAAGGAGGCGTGTCGAGGACCGGTGTCGTCGACGGAGTAGTTCCGCACCAGCTCGAACCGCTCGGCGAGGGCGAGGGCAGAGAGACCGCCCGACTGACCGAGCGCGGGGGGCGGGCGGGGATGGGTGGGGGGCAAGACGGGATGATTCGAGTTCGGATCAGGGCTGGAGGGAGACGGGTCTAGCGGAGGCGGAGCGGGAGGGAGGCGTGGGCACACCTTCGCCGGGCGAGCCTGGCTCTCGCTGCGCAGCGCGGCGCGACCCGCGGTGAGGCTGCCGATCGTCGAACTGGGCTTAAGTCAAGATATATTGTGCATATGGTCGTTCTTACAATATCTTGTGCCGTCCTCCCATCCCTCCCTTGGGTTGGCAGTTTTCTTTCTTTCTTTTTTCAAAATTCTTTCTTTCTTTCAATATCTTGACTGAGCACGCCCGATGAATCGGCAGCAGAGAGACAGGAAGGCTCGATGTGTGAGTCGCCACGCAGAGTCGCGAAACCTGGGTGGGAAGAGGGAGCAGCCGGAACCCTGCTGACCGCCGCCCGGGCAAACACCTCGCGAAACTCTCCACCTCCACTGCCCTGGCCCGAGTGGCGATGCCTCGCGGAGGAGACGACTGGGATCGGCGCGACCGGTATCGCCGCTCGCCTTCGCCGCAGTGGCAGGCGTCCGAGAGAGGTCGCCGCTCTCCAGGGCGAGCCGCGAACGTCAACATCTGCCGGCTGTGCGGCAAGAACTTTTCGTCGTCCAAAGTGCTGGAGATCCACTTCAAAATTTGCAAGCAGAAGCAAGAGGGTGCGGGACCCACCCCGCGCGCTTCCCGCACGCGCCGCCCCCATGGCCTGCGCCCAACCGCCCCCTCGCGTCTCGGCCCACAGAGGCGGCGGCGGCCGCTGCCGAGTGGGAGCATATGTACGACCACGAGACGCGCTTCTATTCCTGCCGCTACCCTGACTCCGTATATACCCCCCTTGGTTCGCTCCTTTATCACTAGTCTCCTATTCTCCCGTGCCTCGTTCTCACTGAGTCTTTCTTTTCATCATCTCTCCTTTTTTTTTTTCTA